AACATATTCATCCTTAAAATTTAAGCGGAGCAGTAAAGTTGTTAATTTACAAACCACTAATTCAATAATAAAAAATATCAGCAACGAAGTAGTTCATATATCACCGGAATTGATATTTCAAAAACTAGCGTTAAATATAAAAACTCCAGAAGATATTAGAGAATATAGCAGCAAATTTGAACTATCTTCAGTGTCATTGTCATTATTCGATGAAAATGGTATGCGGAAAACAAAAAAATCAGCATTTTATTCAAATTTTGAAAAAGTCGATATTATCGAGATCAAGGGCAAAACTACTCATGTAGTAGACGGAGGATATTTTCTTTATAAAGTCGTTTGGAATTGTAATGAGACAATAGAGTGCATATTAAATAAGTATATTTCGTATGCAAAAATCCATTCTAAACCCAATAGTTATATAGTCTTCGATGGTTATCCAGAAGATGATGCAAATGTAACGAAATCGGTTGAGCGTTCTCGGCGAAAATTAAAAAATATAGGTAGGGAAATAGCATTCAAAAATCATATGACAATAACGGTTGAGTAATGAAAAAAACAAAATCAAATTAATTGAAATATTATGCCATTTATTAAATGAAATAGGTTTCAGAACAAAAATTGCTTCTGATGATGCCGATGTTTTGATTGTTCAAACAGCGATTGATAATGAGCGCGTCGATAGTGATAACATTACAATTATTGTAGGCACAGATATAGATTTATTAGTAATATTAACGCAAATAGGACAAAACGTGAGTAATATCTTTTTCAGAAAAGACAGTAAAGGTGTTCATAATTATGAATACTATAGTAATACTAGCTTTTTATATAAAGATTTGTTAAGCATTGTAGACTTTTTGCATGCCTTTTGTGGTTGCGATACCACATCTGCTTTCTACAAAAAAGGTAAAAGTAAATTGATGGAAATATTTAATCATCAAAAATTAATAGAATTCGCTTCAGTTTTTTATAAAAAAGATGCTACTCACGACGAAGTTGCGAGCAGTGCATTCATTTTAATTATGGGTATTTATAGCAGTAAAGCAGAAAAGATTTTAATAGAAAAATCTAATGCTTTCTCGTTAAATGACCTTCGCTATTTGCATTTTAGCACGGCCATGGTCAAATCCAAATTTTTATTAGAATCTTTTCCACCAACCGAAGGAACAGCAAAAGAGCACGCGTTTAGAGTTTATTATCAAGTTCAAAGATGGCTAGGAAATTCAAATGTAAAAGCAACAGATTGGGGATGGGAAATAGATAACAATAGTCTTTTACCTATAGGTACTAAAGAGCCACTTGTGCCGAAAAAATTGCTTGAATAAATATCTTGTTCGTGTAGCAAGAAAGACTGCGTAGATTATTCTTGTACTTGCCGGAAAAATGGGTTAAAATGTACAAATCTTTGTGCACATTGTCACGAAGAATCTTGTTTCAATTTTGAAAAAAACATTATTATCAGATGCGATAGTAATGACGAAAATGATGAAATAATAGAATGCGAAACTATAATTGATAGTGTGTGTGATAATCTAGATAATGTAATAGACATGGACCAAGTACACTGCGCTAAAAGATATAGATTTAATGAATAACTTTAATATTTAAATTAAGTATCTATTGTATTACCATAATAATGTCATAATTTTTAAGTATAATGAAACAAATTAAAATTTATTGTAAATAACATTAAAAATATAATTATTATAAATAATATCTCAAACTGTTAATTAAATTTCAATAAAATAGCGTAATTACATATATATCAAAATAAGTAATATTAAAGCCAAACGCCGAGCGCCTGGCTTTTCTATTACTATATATACTTCCCCTCCGCGGGATCTGTATCCCCCACCGCTCGCTTTCTTTGACGCTCGGGCGCATTTTGCCCGATATTCAACGGCAAATTTCACCCTTTTAAACTGATTTTAGAGCAAAAGTTCAAATGACAAAGTTGTAGTTTGATTATTGAGCTTTAAAAAACTTTTTTCAAATAATGTATAACTCTAACGGCTGAGTCACAGGGCATTATGCAAGATGTACTAAAAAAAAAAGGTTTAATTGTCATTACTGTAGTGCCGAAAGTAATAATTATACATAGCTCAGAGTTAGCATATATAAAGAAGATAATGCAATCTACAAAATATCATAAGCTAATTCTTTCAACATCACTCTATGTGGAGATATGAATTTTTGAAATGTTACCTTTTTTGATCAATTTTGATGTTTTCTGCAATTATATTGATTATTAATTACTCAATTGAGATGAGCGATAGCTCATTTTATAGATAATTCTATTATCTATAACTTATTCCATTGAGGTACATACATACCTAACTTCAATAGTTTTGGTTTTATACGCGAAGAACATGTTTCTGCAAATTTCAAACGGCTGTAAAAAGTTATTAAATGAAAGTTGCGAGTTGGAAACATATACGTTTTCATCTACGCATAGTAATAAACAACTTTGCATAGTCGGTCTGCTGTTAGTATTAACGTCAGGAAATACCTCATTTTTGGCTTCATTGATTGGCCTATTAATATAATATATATATATATATGATATATATATAATTATTATACCGACCGAGCCATTACAGGCCCCTGCTGATAACGTTACAACTGAAAATGCTCTATTATAATTACGAAGCGACAATTTTAAACTTGATTGAACAGTATATATGCTAAAATTATCGCTTTGTAATTAGAATAAAAATTATTAAATTACACTGTTTAATTGCTTGCAAGTACAAAATTCATTTGAAAATAATCTCTAAGCTCTAGGTATCAACGGTAACCTATTCACGTGTAAGTTTTACTTTTTAATAAAAATGTGGAGAGAAGAGGGAAAGAATTAGGTATTGATAGTTCACCACCGGATTTTATTGCGTAAATATTATTTATTTATGCATTTCCAAGTTTAAAGCAAGATTAAGAATAATACTTATTATTGTACGATTATTCAATCAAAATCTATGTCAGTTTGAACATTTCCATGAATTTTGTTAATTAACCTACCATACCGCATTATTACATGTATTACATTATTTATGCAATATTTATCCTATTTATTATTTCTTAAAACATTATTAGGAATAAGACTTTATAATTATTAAAAAAAATTCAGGTTATCAAATAAACTTTCCTATGAGTATTGTAAGAGACCAGTCAAAATAACCAAAGCGACCCATACATTCATTAGCATTGTTCTAGCATTGTTTGTTTGACAGAATAAGATTGTGTTATTATTTATCATTCGGACTAATTAAAAAGTGAATTTATCGGTAGAATTTCCACATTTTTTGTAATAAGTTTTTAATTTCAATATGTTAAACCAAGGTTTATCACAAATTAAATAGTGATATCATATTTTAAACCAAAAAATAAATCAAAAACATGTCAAATATTTTTTGAAATAACTGATAGATTCCAAATATGTAAACAATTGAAATAAAATATTCTACATCAATTGTTCATCACATTCATTTTTCCAAATTTCAGGATAAACTAACATTATTTTCAACATTTTTGATATATTTTTTCTAAATCTTCTTAAGTAAAGTACAATACTTTGGTTTTATGATGGAATCAAAATTAAAATCACTATAAACAAAAATCATATATTTAGCTATCAATCTTTTATAAAGTTTATTAATAAAGCTTAAATCTACGTACAAATTAAGATTCGTAGCTTGAATTATAAGTGATTAAGTCTAAGTAATTTGGAAAGTTTAAATAAAAAATGAACATTTCAGAGATCAGTAATATGTTCATAACTTGTCACTCTATATTTTTTTAATACTATTTTCTTATTTGAAAATTGCAGGATACTACTATTACTATAACAATATATTATTTTAACTTATATATAGTAACAAAATAATAAATATATATATATATATATATATATATATATATATATATATATATATATAATAAAAATATAAACATATAGAAATAAACCATACAATTGTTATTTTCTTAATAAAATGTTTGAAATATTATGAATATTGAAATTATTTCCTGAATTAAAAAAATTTGAATTATTAGTTATTAGGAACCATAAAATAAATTAAAGAACCAAGTTAATGTGTTTTTAATAGTACATTAAAAGTAAATCTATTAACCTTTGCAATCTATTTATACTCAACAAAAAATATGAATTGTTTGAGAATATATCTAATTTTCTTATATATAAATTGATAATTTCACTATGCAAGAATGGATACATAAAACTTATTTTTTCAAATTGTTTATTTTTAGCTAACTTCAGAATAAATAAATTTCAAGATGTAATAAAATAAAAAACTAACATTATTTAATGTTATATATTAATCAATTTATAAAATCTGAAAATTAACATATTTCTTAAGATTAAGTTAACTACAGAATATCCATTCAAAGTAACTGGAGCTTTGGTAATATTATATTATGTCTTTTTCAAAGATAAATCTAGTACATTTATGCATAAATATTATTATAAAAAACGTTCTAAAAATTACTGAGTTCAGATCAACTTAATCAATACATTAATAAATTCAAAATGAAATTGTAGTTTTCTCTATACAATTGAACATTCATTTTTTTAAATTTGAAGGAATGATTGCATCTAATGAGTTATAAATGATTTATGGTATTTTTATTAAGCTAAGATATAAAACTATATAATGTATCAGCATAATGATATTTTATTAATCTTGAACCACTAAGTCAATTAGATTCATTAATTCGTCTGTGGCGCGGGCGCTACTTGAAGATGCATTAATCTTATTAAATAATTATTTTAATTGATATCAAGATTCAACTATTGATTTTATAATATTGACATTTCATATAAATTATTCGACCTTCAAGTTTAAAAAATAGTGAAAAAAAAATTCTTATTGATTATTATTTATATTTGTACATTTTATTGAAATTCATATTTTACAACAATTTTTTAAAATCATATTAAAGAGTAGATTATTCATAAATTTTAACAAATTTGAATAATATTTTACCTTTTTCTTGCAATGACATATCAAAAGTTTTATAAACTCGGAAGATATTTTTGTTGTCATCCATACATTAGGGCGTTTACAGAACGATTCTGAGGCTGCTTATTCAACAGACGCGAACTTGACGCGGATACAGCGTTGCTGGTGGAAAAGTTTTTCTCTGGGTCCCTATAAAATCTCCTTCTATATCAAGGGTCTCTAAAAAATATTTCACTATGTGCAACAGTTCAATTCGTGATTTCAGTTCCATAGTCAGGCCCTCGCCACATATGCGCATATGCGCGCGTACGAGGGCGTACAAACGCGTACAAATCGCTAAAAGTTTTGATAGTGCTAACAACAGAAAGTTACTACTATTCCTCGCATGCCCCAAACCTTCAATAATATAGCGTTATGATACGTTTGTTCCGGGAGTAAGTGTGTTCGTTTGGGTCATGCGAGGAATAGTAGTAACTTTCTGTTGTTGGCACTATCAAAATTTTTAGCGATTTGTACACGTTTGTACGCGCTCGTACGCGCGCGTATGCGCATATATAGCGAGGGCCTCAGTAATGAGAATCCGATAACGCTACAAAAAATTTCATTTTCACGAAGTCGTATCACATCTATATCGTTTATACAGCTATGATCAAAATGCTATGGGAATGCCGGCTGTGAATCTTGATCATAGTTATATAAACAATATAGATACGATACAACTTCATGAAAATAAAATTTTTTGTAGCGTCATCGGATTCTCATCACTGTCCATAGTTCTATTTTCAAATTTTGTCAAATCTGAACGAATTAAAAGCGTTTAGTTGTTGTGTAAATTTTTCGAATAAAATAATTTTTATTAAAAAGTCATGTGATCATAATGCACCAAGTGATGTACGTTAATTAAATGAGTGCAACATTTTTACGGATAATCTAAAAAATTATTTTTTTTTTATCTTATGAATTATATTATTATATTTTTGAATAGAATTATACAACTTAATGAAAATTCTACGATTAATTATTTCATTTTCTTTATAGCCAATCTTTACAATGTTCTAGAATTGAATCTGATTTGTACTCATACTGCTGGTAGATCAATGCTTATCTGACCCCCTTACCCTAGTCTGCAAAGTATAATGGACAGTGAAAAAAAAATACCATTCGAAATATCTCTAATTAAACCCTCCAAGAATGCTCATTATTTTAATTGAACCCCTTCAGTTATCCTATAAAATAATTAAAAACTATGATAATTTTTTCGTTTTTTGCAACTGCGATATCTTTAGTATTACTTAATATTTTTGCAAAGAAACATGACAAAAAAATTGAACCTTTGCTCGTTTTAATTGTACCCGTCTTACTTTTTCAAAATTATTAATATATATGTCAAAAACAACAATCTAATTTTATTGTATGTTCTTTCCAAATAACCCAATAACCCAATAATCTATTTGGAAAGAATATACAATAAAATTAAATTGTTGTTTTTGATATATATATATTAATAATTTTGAAAAAGTAAGACGGGTACAATTATAACGAGTAAAGGTTCAATTTTTTTGTCATGTTTCTTTGCAAAAATATTAAATATTACTAAAGATATCGCAGTTGCAAAAAACGAAAAAATTATCATAGTTTTTAATTTTTTTTTTGGGATAACTGAAGGGGTTTAATTAAAATAATGAGCATTTTTGGAGGGGTCAATTAGATATGTTTCGAATGAAATTCTTTTTTACATTATACTTTGCAGGCTGGGGTAAGGGGGGGTGCTTATCTGTAAGGTCCCGGTCACATAGGTACATATGGATGCGGACGGATATGGATGCGAATCCCTACTGAAGAAAAAGACGTCTTCAAAAGACGTCTTTAAATGACGTCTGTAAACGACGTCTTTAGAAATGCCAATTTACGTCTGAAATTCGAACGTTTTATGACGTAATTTTTTTTAAATAAACGACATATTTTTCCATGAAATGACGTCTTTTCGAAAAATAAATGACGTATTTTCCAAAAAATGACGTCTTTTAGGAAAATTTAATTCTGTACCAGCAGCTTAATGACGTCTTTTTAGGAAAATAAATGATATAGCAGCAGCTTAATAACGTATTTTTCTAAATAAATGACGTATATTTTAAAAACGACTTATTGGTAACCCTTTTAAAATCACGCCTTTCATTTTACAAATACGTCTTTATTTTTCAATTAGTCATTCTGTAGTATTTAAAAAATGACGTATTTTTGAAAATAGACGTTTTTTTCAAACGAAAGACATCTGTTTTGAAATCAAAGACGTCATTTCATCTCGCTAAACACGTCATTCTTTACTTATTTATGAAAGACAATATTTAAATAGTTTTTCATTCTTTTCATCAATATTTAAATGATGTTTATTATACAATCGTTTCGACGTATTTTATTTACACATAAAAATTCATTACATATTATCGATTTCAATAAGAATATCTGTTTGAAACAGCACACAAGTACGAGTCAGATTCAGAAACCATGTGAACGCAAATTGTGGCAATAATATTAGTATCGATAGCTTGCAAGTCTTGACTAATAGACACTAATCTCTTAATTTGAAAATTGGGTACGTGCTCATGGATATCAAAGATATTTTCAACATTTACAGTCTTACAGATAGTATATTCTCGTTCATTCAATGTATCTACTATAAAAGAATCAATTTTTATGTAATCATTGTCGATTGATTTAGCAAATGAATTATTAAGTTTTGTTTTATTACACGACAAGTATGTACATTCCATTTTAACTAATTTTCGGTAAACTCTTGAAAAATTTGAAAACTGCAAATATTCTATCCATCGATTCGCAGGGCACGAAGCTTTCCCGAAATACTCGTATCTACCAATATCCGTCTTTAACACTGTAATACATTCTCTTATCTCTAAATATCGAATGTAAGACAGATCGTGAGAGTCGGGATTATTTTGTAATAAGAATTTATTCAAAAGTAATCGACTCTTTTTCATTCCCATAACCCTACAAAGTTGATGTAAAACACCTTTCGCATCATGTATTTCTTTTACAATAATTCCGTTCCCATTTTCAAATCCGTACCCAGAATGATAATATTAGGAACCCCAATTAATTTCACTTTGCAATTGATGGACGTTATACGTCATCGCACTTCTCCCATATGAGAATTCTGTAAGAACTACAAATATTGTTAGTAAACGGTGTGCTTCGCGGAGTTAAAATCTAGTTATATTTTCTTTCACTAAAATGTAGTAAGCTCTTACAAAATGAGACCAATGTATAACATAGCATCGCATGCGAGGAATCATGAACAAAGCTATTGTACTGTAATGAAGAATACAATTTTGACACTCTCTGGCTTTCCAAAATTTCCTATCTTTGATAGATCGTGAATTTCTTAAAAGTTTGTTAGGGACTTTTAAAATTTTTATAAAGTTATCAATAGCATCGATTTCAGCATTAGTTAGTGAAAGGGTCATATTCTTGACGTCGAACCAATATTTTATAAACTGTTTTCCTACTCCCAAGTCCATAAAATGCATGGCATCAGGTACAAAACCTGAAATTATATTAAAAGCTCTTAATCGAATCAAAACCGATTCATTATTAACTCCGAAAATCGTTTACCCTGTAGCGCGAGCTTGTTGCATATGTTTCTTGAGTGTCTGTTTCATTTCTTTCTGCTATAAGATTGTCCACTGCGATATACTTCACACAACCCAACCCCCTCTACCTACAGCAATCCAATACCCCGGGTGTAGACACCAACTACATCCATAATAGCCGTTGAACTGTGTCAGCCTCTGCATCGAGGTGCGTGCTACAGAATCAACACACGAGCAAATCGCATAAAGGTAAATGGTATGTAACGTACCATTTATATTGCATATCATTCCATTGTGATGTTTGTATCACTTATAAATAATTCAAACTCTCGTATCTAGTTGCGCTTATGAGTAAGAATTCGTTTCTAATAAATCTACTCTACTTATCAAATAAATTGAAAAATTAAATATAAGGTGATAATAATAAATTGAAAAATCAAATATATGCGAGTATGGCCAAGGTATTAAGGACAGTCAGACTATGCCCTAGTTTCTTATGGTGCAAATTGTCCCATAAGCAGAGCTAAAGTCTTTTTGAGATTGGATATAATTCGGCTCAAGTTTCTTATAGCGCGAGGTGTTCTATAAGTTGAACTTGAATTATAGGAGAGGAAAAGTCTTGCTCAGTTAATTACAATGAGAGAAAGAACTTAGGTATTAGCCAAGTTTATTCAGACTCATGTGCTCACTTTGCAAGGCTAGAAGTGAATGCCAGCCTGTGCAATAGTGGGCGTATTTATACACAAATTTTCCCGCCTATTTTCGCAGGAGCGTTTTCTTCGAGAAGTTTTCGAATATTCGAGAAACATTCGCGAATTTTGAGAAATGAATTTTCTTAATTTACAAGTAAATAAACATTAATAATGAGCTTTCAACACATGTGAACTTTACAGAATTCGTTATTTGTTGATTTAGTGTAATTTACAATTATCGCAAATAGTGTTGTCAAAGCTTATTAACTAATAAAATTAATTAATGTAATATTACATATTTACAATAGACAATTATTAAATTTTTACATAACCTTATAGTTTATTAATTTTAGAAGTATTTTTTAAAAAGAAATATTCAAATTAGTTAATAACATTTGAATTATAACAAATTTTCATATTTTTAACGGTTTTTTCTATAATCTTATAACGCAATTATTAGATTAATTATCTAAGATTTATAAATTATAAAGTTTTCCTTATTAAGTATAAAATTAACGCTTTCGTTCTATATACAACTTATTGTTTAAATAAATTATTGATTGTTTATTTATTAATAACAGTTATTATTAAGCTGTTATCAATGAAACCAATTCTTACTCATGTTCATTTCTTATTCATTTTGCATTTGGACTATTTACATTTTTCTAATAATTCCTTTCCCATATTAAAATTCATTATTATTTAATAATTAAATGCAATTCGTATGACTATATTCTAAATCTACGTACTAAAATCTATATAAGAAATACTTTGTTATATCAAAATTATTTCTAATTAACAT